ATCTGATCGGTCTATGGGAGGTAATCGGCAGGAGGCGGGCTCTCAGGTACCCAGGTCCAATGCCATGTAGGGCTTTATAGGTAATGACCAGCATCTTGAGCAGGATGCATACGTAACCTCCAAGCGGGGGGGGGACCCCTAATGAATAACATCAAAATCATTCAATAACCAATACACTTAACACAGTAACTTTTCCTGTTCTGTCGAATTGCTTTATATATTCTCTAAGATGGGGGAAGTAAGTTAAAAAGAAGTTCCTACGGATTTTACTCCACTAGTGGTTGCCCACTTTAGGGAGTGGGGCTCATATCTGTTTCAAGGCCAAAACTTTCTGAAGACATTTCTGTGGTCATGTAGCTAGCACGAATGACCTATCATGGCGTGCTGTTACCTTTCCATCGAAGTGGTACCTATTTATCTACTTGCATTTGCATGCTTTCAAACTGCTAAGCTGACAAGAGCTTGTGTGAGGATTGGAGCTTACCCTGTCACATCACACTTGGATCTTGAACTTAGTCTGCCAGCTTTCCAGCCAACAAGCCCAGTGTCTTAACCACAGGGCCACTGTGCTGCCCTCAGGGGAAGTGAAGTAGACTAAAAAATGTTATTTGCACTACAACTCCTCTTAACTCGGACTAACTGTAATTACATCCATAGCATTCTAATAATTCAGGTGACATTATTGGCCTTATTTAATTGCATAAGTGATACACAAAGCAATTCACACCCTTGCAAGGTATTTGTCAAGCTTGAGGTGTGTGCAAAAAGAACTTGTCTCCCTAAGATGCCACTGTATTGGTTGTAGGAAGTCAACCAATTGCCTACTTTTTCTTGCACACATCAAAGGTATAATTTTATCTCCTTTTTAGCATTTCACAAGAGAGTGTGATTAAGACTCTGGATCAAGACCCAGTCTCCTTTTTAGGAACACCCTAGGAAGGGGGGGGGGATGGAAACCTTCTGCTTCTGGATTTAAACTTGCTTGATACAATATAACTGAACATAGCCAAAATCGGGGCATCTTTTCTAATTCTTGCTTGTGTCAATAAACCCTAGTTCAAATTAATTCCCAGTTAAGATACTGAGGCAAAGTATGATTGGTTCACCACTTAGCAAACAGGAATTTATGGCTTGATAATGGCTAATTTTGGGTCAGGGATGTTAGAAAGTAGCAATAGCAATAGCAGTTAGACTTATATACCGCTTCATAGGGCTTTCAGCCCTCTCTAAGCGGTTTGCAGAGTCAGCATTTTGCCTCCAACAACAATCCGGGTCCTCATTTTACCCACCTCGGAAGGATGGAAGGCTGAGTCAA